CCGCCTGGCACTCATGCCACCCCACCTGGCCCTCGAGGCCCCTCCTGGCCCCCGAGGCCGACCGGACGGCCTTGCTCTGACGCGGTTTCTGGCGGCACTCACTCGCAAGACACGTCACTCCTCCCTCGGATCCCGGCGCTCAGCGTTGGTTCTCAGCCCCGGTTCGCAAGCCCTCTGGGCGGAGCGCAGCCTGGTCTCTCGTCTCACAACACAACTTCACGAAGCACTCAAGAGGTCCTTATCTCCTCCTTGCCCTCGACAGGGAACGGCGGATATTGCACTAGTTAGTCCCGCAAAGTTCCTGTCACGTCGCGCGCTTCAGAGCCACCTTCAGGAGAGCGGTCGACAGGGCGCAGCTTGGCACGCCGTCCCCCGCAAGTGGCGCCGTAAGAGGAGTTTGTCCCTCAGACGGCCGCCGGCGCTGCCCTCGACCATCGTGACCTGGAACGAAGCGAAGACAAAAATTGAAACACGGATAACAAATAAATTGACCTGGAACGAAGGGAAAGAAAAAACATGAAACAAGAAAGATGAATTACGTAAATTGAAACAAAGCGAATCTTAGAAAAAAAATGAAACACGAATGATGAATATAGTGACCCAGAACAAAACAAAGGAATGAGCACGGACCACGAATACAGAATATGAAAAACAATGATAGGTGGAGGTTAGTAAGGCAGTCATTTGCATGGCTGACTGAACAACCGACGTGTATAAATAACACAATAAGGGACGCCTGAATTATAAAACTAATGATCTATTTGCCCCTTTTGAGGCTAATGGGTATAATACAAGAGCGGAACCGAATTCTTTGACATTTATATATTACCCTATTTGGAATCTGGGAATAGGAAGAATACCATCATTGATGACTGTAGCAACCTTTGTACTTTTCTGAAAGTGATGGTCATTATCAGGTAAATAGTGTGTCCAGTAAAATATGTAATGTTGATAAACATAAGAATGGGTCCTTAGTTTAGGGTGTGAGTAAGGTTAGTAAGGTAAGGAGGGAAGGGTTAAAGATTATAAAGATTAAGATTAAAGATTTAGACAGTTCCATTTATTACAATGGATATTCTTTGCTGTGACACACTGTCTGTTTTATTTTGCTTCTAAATCTCCCCCCGTGTGCAAGGAATGGCCGGGGTTACCATTCACTGGCAGTGCATGGGATCGAACGCAGGTCAGCAAGATTGCAAGCCCAGCACGTTACCACTGGACCACAGAGCACCCAAAGAGGGACAAGGAGTAATAGCAACAATAATAATAATAATATTGATGATAATTTAGTAATATTTCATTTGTTACAGTGGTTATTTGTGGGACGGCAGGCTTTCCGTTTCTTTCTTTTTCATTCTAAAATCTTTCTTTGTGCAAGGATTGGCCGAGGTTACCATCCACTGGCAGGGCGGGCATCGAAAGCGGGCCAGCATTCCCTCTCTCCGGGGTGTGGAGACTGATGGATGGAGAGACAGAGAGAGAGAGAGAGAGAGAGAGAGAGAGAGAGAGAGAGAGAGAGAGAGAGAGAGAGAGAGAGGAGAGAGAGAGAGAGAGAGAAGAGAGAGAGAGACTGAGACTGAGACAGAGAGAGACAGACAGACAGACAGAGAGAAAGGGAGAATAAGAGATAGATAGAATGACAGAAAAGGAGAGAAAGATAAAGGACGACGATGAAACAGAGAAATATGTAGATAAAATGTTAACGAAATAAAAGATGAAAGAAAAAGAGCGAAATAGAGAGAATGGGAGAGAGCAAGAGAGAGAGAGAGAGAGAGAGAGAGAGAGAGAGAGAGAGAGAGAGAGAGAGAGAGAGAGAGAGAGAGAGAGGAGAGAGAGAGAGAGCCGACGGTGAAAACAAATAAACAAAGAGAAATGTATAAGAAAGAAAGAAAGAAAGAAAGAGAAAGAAAGAAAGAAAGAAAGAGGGAGAGACACAAAGCCAGAGAAACAAACAGACACCGAGGGAGAGCCCGAAGCAGAAAGGAAACAAACAGACGTAGAAAAAAAGGTCACAAAACCCATTTCATCACTCACCTGCCCCTAATCAATGAATGAATCCAACTTCATATCCATTTAGCGCGAATCTCATTAATCCCCCAAAGAAATCATTCATGTAAGAAGGATAGGGAATCCCATTAAGCTACAGAAGATTAATCAGATTTGTAATTAATGGCCAATCTTTATTATTGTTTCTTATCTACTCTGAATATAATTGCATTGGGGAATGCGAGCGTATGTGTCTCGTTACAAAAATGGTCATATTCGAATATATATGTGTATGGGATGTATGCGCGAATGTATGTATGTATGTATGAATGTACTGGTATATGAATGTTGAAATTAGTTTGCGAATGTATGATATTGTGAGTGTATATCACACTTTATGTATGAGTGTATAACTGTGTAAACTACTGTGCATGAGGTTATGTACGTCTATATCCTTGAATGCACGAATGTATAGATATGTTTCAAAAACTATGAATTCATAAAAAGTTGACATAAACGGTATATAATAGACGTTAAGCTCTTTTTTTCACCAATACGCAAATTTTCCGTTTAATCGCTAATCTGTTTTATTTATTCAGAAACGTTCTATGCATCAGGTATTATCCATTTCAGCTGATTGTTTTATTAATTGGTCAATAACATAATCTTTGTATGAAATATTGTACATATATATGTGTATACACTTATATACATACATATATATGTGTATGTGTGTGTGCATGTATATATATATATATATATATATATATATATATATATATATATATATATATATATATATATATATATATATATATACATATATATATATATATATATATATATATATATATATAATATATATATATATCCCGTGTTGTGTGTGTGTGTGTGTGTGTGTGTGGTGTGTGTGTGCGTGTGTGTGTGTGTGTGTGTGTGTGAATATATATATATATATATATATATATATATATATATATATATAATATTATATATATATTATCACACACACAGTGCCGTGTTTCATGTAAAAGAGAATACTATTCACCATTTTATTTGCATTCACATTTATTCTTTCTGTCAACGTGAGACAGCTCTCACCCGAGCGCATGTATTTATAGCCTCGGATCGAGGGGCGGTGAGTTGCCAGTTAGGCGTGCATTTCCCTGCCTAATCCACCACCAAATTTTTAGTATTTTAATTGCAGATTGGGGGAATAGCCGCAGGGTAAGTGTGATAAGCAATTAAATCCCATTCTTTGCGTTAGTTGGAGGGGTAATTTGCAGACCGCCTTGCCGCTTCCAACACCAGACGAAACATTATGAAATTGCACTTTTTTAATGGTGGATTTGGCCGGATGTGTGAATTTTTTGCCGAAATATTTCTGGGTTTGTTAATTGGCTGATTATCATATTCACTTATCGAATTTGTGTCGTTTGGTTGGGATGATGCAGTTGCAATGGAAAGAACATTTAATCGATATGTATTTTTACATCTTTCTCCTTTTTGCTTTTCCAAATACTCCTCGCCCCCTACCTTCCTCTTTTCCCCTTCGTCTTTTTGCTTACCATGTTTTCTTTTCCTATCTTCCTTTTTTTTATCTTCCTCATATATGTTTCAAATTTTTCTAGAAATTATTATTCACATTCACAGCTCTATGAAACATTCGATTTTCGTATGTTATGTCCGATAACATTAATATTACTCTCAACATCCAGCATATTATTCATGTCAACCACTTTTACTCTTTATCATAACACTCTCATTCCTCATACTTGCCGTATTGTATTCCCAAAACCGTACCAGCTCTATCAATTTTATTTTCGTCGCATTTTGTTAAACATCAACATTGCAATCCAGATCATCATTGCTTTAAGAAAAAAAAAAAAATGATGTTAACAACTAGAACTTCAGATACCGTATCCCCCTGTCTTTGTCATGGAAACAAGTGCAATTTTAGATGTAAATAAACCAAACAATGCAGACTCTACACAAGGGATTGGGGATTTTGAATGCGTGGCAAAAACACATTTTATTTGTTGTTGTTTATGTGAGAGTATGTGTGTGTGTATCAGTGTATGTATGTGATACGTATTTGTATATATATATATACATATATATATACATATATCTATATGTGTATAAATATATGTATATACATACATACATTTATATATATAACTAAATACACACAGACACGCACACCACACACACACACACACACACAGACACACACACACACACACACACACACACACACACACACACACACACACAACACACACACACAATATATATATATATATATATATATATATATATATATATATGTGTGTGTGTGTGTGTGTGTGTGTGTGTGTTGTGTGTGTGTGTGGTGTGTGTGTGTGTGTGTTGTTGTGTGTGTGTGTGTGTGTGTGTGTGTGTGTGTGTCTGAGAGAGAGAGAGAGAGAGAGAGAGAGAGAGAGAGAGAGAGAGAGAGAGAGAGAGAAGAGAGAGAGAGAGAGAGAGAGAGAGAGAGAGAAGAGAGAGGAGAGAGAGAGAGATTCTGAGAGGAAGCGAAAAAAGAAAGAAAAAAACAACTGGAAAACGGCGAAAAAAAAGGACAAAGAGAAAAGACTAGAAAAATATCAACGAGGTAAGTATAATAAGCAGTTAAATCCCACCTCGTTATTCTCTCTGAGCGATAATTTGAGAGAAAACACTGAAAGAGCGAAACATTATGAAAAAGAATCAAAGCCTGCGGGTGTAATATGACGCCAGATAATTATTGTTGATATTGCGATTATCACTGAATTTGTGATCATGAATTATATTGTTTAATGAAATAAAATGAAATAAAATAGAGGGTGAAGATGTTTATGATGTTTCATGTTTGTGTTTTTAAAATAAAGATGACTGGAGATATGGTTATGAAGATATATGATGTGATTTGACATGATATCATATGATGCTATTTAATTTGATATGATATGATATGATAATATTATGCTGATGCTGAGGGCGATGATATGATA